AATACGGATATCGCGACCCGTGTTGTTTTCTTAGGAAACTGTTTGTTATCGACGAATACCAATTAGAATAAGTATGTGTACTATGTCTATATTTTAATATCTTACCTTGATTGAGGGGTGGAAATCCAAAACGTACTATTGCCAAAATTGGCAAAAACGAGTTAGATATCGATTCTTATAAAAAAAACGCCGACAAATCGATTGGTGTTGCCAGAATAGACCAAAACGTACTATTTCCAGGTCAAATCAGCTGTTAAAAATGACTGCTTAATCCAAAACGAACCTTCTTCGTGCATAAAAATTATATTTAGATAATCAAAACGTACTTTTTCCAGTTTTACGCCAAAACGTACTATTGCCAATGTTAAAATAATAGGCACCAATCATTAACTATACCAAAACGAACTATTTTCGTAAATTATTCCAAAACGTACTTTGTTTTTATGTTATGTCAAAACGTACTACTGCCCGTATTGTAGGTATAGCGAAATAAAATAGTTAATCCAAAACGTACTAAAATATAATTTATAATTTATAATATTCACAATCATTAAGTTTGAAATTAAATTAAAAATATAATCCTAGATTATTAAACACATTTGAGTCGTTTTTAATAGAAATAATATATTATTAAATAATTTAAAAAATCTTCCTTGTCTTCAAAATTACTTTTTTATTTATAAACGGTTTGTTCATATTGAAACAATAAATAAGAAATTAATAATATTTTTATTTTGGAAAAAGCACATTTTGGAGTATATTTTAATATTTAATTAGGTTTTCCAAAATGAACTATTTCCATTAAATTTTCCAAAATGTACTATTTCCATTAAATGAATGGAAAAGGTATACGTTTTGGATTATTTTACATTTTTATATGACAAAAAAATATGTAGATGTAGAATAATTAAAGTCATTCTATCTAAATTTTAAAAACAATACTGATAGGTAATATTATTTTCACAGGCAATTTAAAAAAGTCCCTAAAAATAAAATAAATGTGTATATTGTATAATAATTAATAAATTAACATATACATTATACAGCCATTGGCCATATAGGGCCCAGCGAAATTCTGCACCGGGCCCCGAAAACCATCGGGCCGGCACTGACGTACTAACTCTTTACAAACGTCTATAAAAACGCAAAATTTAGTATTTACTTTAACCTTTCATATTTTTTTGCAAAGGGCAAAATGTGAAATACTTCGTGGAATGTATTTTAATCCAAATTAAAAACTAAAAAAACCATTTTCGAGAAGTTTTTATTTTTATAACACCCAATCCTTTCTGTATAATCTCATTTTAGGAAATACAATGAGGTAAATTTCTAATAAAGGTAAAGTTAAAATACGATTATGACATTTACTTAAGCTTTTTATGAAAACAGACAAGTTTGTTTAAATGCATAAATTTAAGTTATAAAAACTTAAAAAAACCACACCTATATAATATTTTAATAGCAATATTGCTTCTTTTTTTTAAAAAAAAAAAAAAAACGATATATGATTACCGTGCCATATGGAACATAGGTATAAAGGTAAGTATATATATTTATTTAATGCGACTACCCTAAAAATTAAATTACCTTTTTTGTCAACAATATTTGTTATTACTTTTCTAGTTTAGGTACCTATACAGTATACAATATAGTATACATATTCCGGACATAAAAGTTAAGTAAACCTTTTTATAATACGCATCATATTACTTAAAAATGTTTTATGATAGATGCAAATAATTAGTTAATGTTTTTACTTTAAACAGTTTTGTAGTGAAATTCGACCCTTTAAAATAATGTACTTACCTTTGCACATAATATAATATAATATGATATATCGTATAATTAAAATATTTTAAGTGTATATCGCATCTGTAGAAGCATCAATATTGAATGGTTTAAATTTTTGACCAGGTGAAATTACAGGGCTTCGGTGGGGGAATTCCTATGTAGTTGTTACGAAATGAATGTCTTGGGGATTGGAAACCAACTAAATATGTAACGACTCCGCGGGCCGGTGTTCAAGACGACCGTTGAACACAGTTTCGATCCCCTAGGTAAAATTTGTATACGTCGTTATAATATGTTGACCTGAAAGAGCCACATAGTTATTTATTTGATGCTTATACGGTCCACTTTTATAGACTATGTAGTATGTACGTTTAGGTTTAGTTGAGGGTGATCACTGATCACAGATCAGGGGACTCTGACGGTCTGATCTGTATTCCCTTGCTCGTATTTGGTACAGCCGAATTGCATGCCAAAAATAAAAAGAAAAAACTGTCCGATTTACATGGCATCTCTAAAAAGGGTCGTCCAAAATGCATGGCGTGGGCCCATTGCCATCATTTGAATTATATAGTACGTTGAATTTGTACCATCATCATTTTATTTACCCTACTATTAAACTCAAAACAAAATATTGAGTTACTATACACTATACAATATACTTTCAGTCTTGAATCTGCAAATGATGGGAAGGGAAATATTATTTTAACTTAATTCTTATATAATTATTTAAAATACAATAACAAATTTTACATTAAATTCGGTATTTATTATATGGTGTGTTATAGGTTTACCCTTAATTGCCCATTATATGTGTAGGTGTACTTTTCTTAATAAACAAATTCGTATAATAGTGGCTTTATGGTTCAAATATAACTGAGATACAAAGCAATCAAAAATTATTAAAAGATATTATAAGATTTTGGAATTTGTAAGTACACAAAATAAATAAAATTATGTTGAGAAAAAATGTAATATATAATAATATGCCTATTGTATATTCGGACAGTCCTTTAAGAGATGACATGGAATATGCAATTCGGACAGTTTTTTCTTTATTTGCATGTAATTTGGATTTATCCCTCATATTTGGTATTAGAAAATTGTTAATATTTATTACTATTCAATATTTCAATGTGATAAATGATAAAATCGTTTTACTCCGTAACTAAAATAGAGTTAATTTTCATTGGATTTGGTCTTAACTCCAATATCTGAAATTATATTTCAATATATGTATGAACTATGAACATTCACGTTTCAAAATTTAAGATACAAGATATAATTTTCATTTATTTCTATCACGATGTGGCAACATTTTAAAACTGGTTTACAGCTAGTTTTATAGATACTATTTAGCATTTGATGAATCGGAGGTGTACGTGCCCAGTCTATACCATGCGCATTTCCTGCATTTTGATTATTATTAAATAATTTCATTATTTTGTTTTTTTATAAAAACAAGAGATATCATTTTTAGAGCCTTTTCTATAATACGTAATTATATAAAGTTAAATGTTTCCATGTTTCCATGTTATTATTATTTATTGACTGATGTGTGTAGATACAACAAGTAATGATTATGTAAAAATTTTTTTTTTCTATTAATATTATTTCCATTGTTATTATTGGTCGAAAAAATATATTTCTATCAAATTAATTATTATTTTTTTCATCAACCTATATTGCTAAAATAAATTATTGTTTAATTTTTTTAACATCACCATTATTATTTCCGAATTAATAATCATTTGTGATATTAGTATTAGTTACACTTACACATTTTATTTGTGCCGTAACATTCCTGTACATCTATTGTATTTATAATAATGCAGGGATATTCAAAATGATGTGGTTAATGATGGGTGGTACACACAGTGTCTTTAACATATCTCCAAAAGAAGTAGTCACATATGGCATAAGATCAGGTGACCTAGGGAGCCAGGTGCAAAGCATCAGATAATTAATTTTTAAGAACTCGCTGTATTTCCTTATTATGTTCTCCTGTTTAGCCAATTGCATTACCATTTACAATCCCTCGTGTTATTGAATTTATTGATTTTAAATTTTTTGTTTGTTAAATATCATAATATATAATTATTACTTGGATGGAAAACAATTTAATATTTTGAGAAAAATAAAATGAGTGGTACAAATTAGCTTGTAAAATGTAACGACGGATGGTTTTTGTTATAATAAGAATGAAACATTGATGACCATGTGGAATGGGACAGGACGACCGCGACGTGTGAAGCGAAAAGGTGGCTTAAAAATAATTTTAGATAATAAAGTAGGCGAATCGATTTTTCCGTTAATTATATTTTTAATAAAAGTTGTATTAGCTTTATGACTAAGATATAAGGTAGTTTTCTTTAATAGATAAAGTTCACATAACATATTTTCCACACTCACCCATAAATTTAAGTGTAGATAATCGACTCTATACTGTGCTTAAATTGAACATAGGCGGTGTCCTAATTGTATCACTTTTTAAAAATAAATAATAATACTTAGTACTTACAGTGCTTATCTGATTATCCAGCAGCCTCCCTAATAAAATTACTAGGCACACCGTAAACCTCTGCAGCAGTGGATCGGGGTCGTCTCCCCTTGAGGTTGATTCTGTCATACCTACTGCGAATATAGGCACACAGTATTTCGACTTTCGAGTCTTGAAGAAGACTGAAATAGTTATGCATCAGACATAAGCTTGACTGCAGTTGTCAACATTCATGGAGCTTCTAGAAAATGAACCTGTTTAGTGTTTGGCACAATTATTCTACAAAGTCAGCTGCGTTAAACCAACCCAAACTGCAACAGCAATATAATATCTTAGTGACCATGCTACGATGCCTCGATGGTTCTGTTTGTGTAGTACGAAAATAAATATGTACAACAACATTAAGATTATTTTCAAATGAACATAATATTGCAAACCACATATTGATTATACTATACCATTGATTATACTATTTAGTATTTAATAAATAAAATATGATGTTTATTTAGTTGAAATGCAAAATAAAAAAAAACTTTTAAATTATTAGGTACACTATAATGATTTTTCTTGTACATTTTCACTACAAGTACTTATAGCAACGGATCTTATTTATTTCATTAATTATTTGAACACAGCAACTCATTCAATTATTAAATAAATAATTGTATTAATTCTTAAAACGAATCTATTGAGCATTTCAATCAACATAAAAATGCATACTGTACACAGTTTTAAAAAATCATACTTTTCCCATTTGAATAGATGCATGCATTGCAACAAAATAAGTGTGCTAAACCCGGTCTTTAAGTGCACGGGTTGTTCCATGGTAAGTCACCAAAGGTGCTTGGAAAGAAATCAGTACACCATTAACGAACGTCTGAGGTTAGAAAAACGTATTGTCAAAGACCAAAAAGCACCAGTGAAAATCAAGTACAATGAACTTGGGGAGCTTCTAGAACCCGATTACCTGTATAATATTTTGGTAATAGAAAAACGACACCCAATATCGTTGATGTCAGAAGAATACCTGAAAGCAAGGCATGCAGAACACGAATCCTTGTTTTCTGCCATTCGGGTAGGTTACCTAGATTACCTTTAGGTTAGAGCTCTAACGATCTTTGTATGAGTAAAATGAATGTATTACTTATTATAATATTATAATTGTATAGGACAATGGCCTGTTTTGGCTTCAATACACAAATAATAATTATTATTACTGACTGAGTAAAAGCATAAACCATTTATTATTCATATCATCGTCATAATATTATAGCAAAGTTGTATAATAATTTATCAGTAAATACTAACAATATTGTTTAGGCACGTGATGTTTTGGAATCGTATACCACGGAGCCGATGTCGAGAAGATCCGGTCAGGAACCTAATGCTACAGTTACAGTAACAGTTACAGAACCAGAACAAAGTACATTAATGTCTACACAGGAAATGAGTGCAGAAGCGCTAGAGCCATTAGTCTCTGCAGCGCCAGACACTAATTTAGAGGAACGGGGACGAAGTTCTGTGTCACTAGAACTCGATGAAGGGGCACCAAAACTAGGTGCAAGAACACCAGAACCTGGAAGTGCTTGATAACTGGAACCGAATGCAATGGCATCAGAACCTGGTGCAGCCAAACCGGAACTCAGTGAACCAGTTTCAGAATTGAGTGTAACAAACCTTTTATAGAGGGTAGATGATCAGAAATGATTACAGCCTGCACATTTAACTAGGTGCCTAGTCACCTGAATAGTTTCTATTACCTACTGTATTAACAAATTAAAAGTCCACTGAACATTTTTGGAACTTAACGTTTTTAGAATTATAAAATTGTTTATACACTACTACGGATTTAACAAAGCCGCTTTACTTAACGTGAATACTGACAAGTTAGAAGCATTAACACGCGACTACGTGAGAAATTTAACAAAACCCCCGAATAAGATAGGTATTTAAAATGTATTTTATGATTGTCCTTTTAGATATAGGTACGTATATCAATGGATATTGCACAATATAATGCACTCTGCAGTGTATAATAATTAATAGCTATTTGTCTTATCGTATAGTGGTACATTATTTTACCGACCGTTTTCCCTACATGTATGACGTTGACGTATCAAGAAAAAAAGTTTATTATTTTAGATTTCTAACATGAGTTTAACACCTTGCAGGGGCGTGCCCAGGATTTCTTTTTAGGGATGGTTTAGTTTAACCTTAAAGTTTTAAAGTTAAACTTCAATACTTGAACAATATAATTCAAATAAATGTAAGTATATACTGTATTAATAAAAAAAAATTTAATATTTCTTGTAAATTTGTTTAGTCAAAAATAAAATAAAAATTAATAAATTAGTTATCTATAAAATAAAGTCCATTCTTCTTGATACTGATGCAAACTTTGATACAACTTCATCTGGATTTACTGGTATATCGTTGTGAATTGAAAGTAGAGCTAAACCAAGCAGTCGACTAAAATAAGTCAAAAAAATAAGCCAGTCAATTTGGGGGTGGATTGAACCCCCAAAACCACCTCCTCGGCACGCCCCTGACACCTTGATATACTAAAATATTTATTTATTTACTAACTATTGTTCCTAATTACTTCACATAGTTCCGACTTACGATTGTTTGTATTAAGATATTTAATTACGATTGTTGGATGTTGATATTAAGATAATAAACTACTTATTGTATAAGTATTTAATATAAATCCCACAGATTTCTATATATTACTAGATAGCGAACTCCGGTCATGAATTGAAGCTTCAAGGTCGGTTGGCAATTGTATGGTATTTCATATGACAAATAAGATGATATTATGATTTATTTTATATCGTATTTTATTATTTTTAAACATTTAGTTTACAAAAAAAAAAATATATTTTATATAAGTCATTTTACATTTACTATTTTATTTGACCGTTAAAAAAAATATTATTCCATTAGGAATAATGAAATGTTTTGCCAACCGACAAAATGGCGGCCGTTCACAGCTGAGCTTCAATTGTAACAATGTAAATTGTATAAGAGTTCCTTATCTAGTGTAGTATAGAAGTCTGTGATAAATCCATACCATCCAAAAAATACTACCAAAATATTAAGGACACCAAATTCTTTTTAAATTGTATTTAAAATTATAGTTTATTGTTTGTATTACCTAAAATATGTTTGACACAATCGCATAGTGAGCTTTCCTAACTTGTTCTATACTATAGTGACATTTTATAGTCGAGGAAATATCATTAATATTTATTACAAAAGACTTTATTTATTTTATTCGAAATTAAATCGTTATCATATAAAAAATACATAAATGGAATATAAATCACTAGGATAGTAAAAGCTTATTTACAGTTGGAACACTTGGAACCTATTTTATTTTAGGTAGGTACCTATACATATTAGTATATTACATATATAGTTATAAAGTTTTGTTTTCATACAACAGAATAATAATTTTTGTAGTGAAATGTTTACATTATGTATATAGGTATGAAGGTAGGTACATCGTTTATAATAATGTTAATATATTGTTTTATATATTTTAGTTCTGTGTATTTGTGTGAACTATACGATTTTACACGTTATCCCGGTAAATAAAAAATAAAAATAAAAATTAATAATCCATTACGACAATCTAATGCGCGAGGGCGCCAGCGTTGTTGTTTTTCGTATAATAATTAAACGATCGGCGACGGTGATAAATGCGTTTCTATTATGTTTTTGACCTTTTTGAAATTTAATTGCTTCGAATTATAATTATCGCGGAGGAGTAGCCTGGAAGGTTTACCTAACATTAACAGCAGCACCACCTATAATACGCCTGCACCTGTATATATTATGTCTATGCACATAGTAATAATATAGTGTCATTAAAAACTCGACGTTTTCCGTCGCGAACATTTCTCAATCCGATGATTAAATGATTTATACGACGTGCATTTATCATCTCCGAATATATCTCATCTGTACGTATGTATTATATTATACTATACGCATTACAGAGTGTATACCTATAACATAAGATATACGAGTATTTATATTATAAACGGTGCAAGAAGGGCTGTTGTTAATGTCAAACTAGATTACTTATGTATTTTTGAACCAAATAAAATATCTCATAAATGTTTGTAGACTACAATTTAAACGGCGAATGTTATATCTAATTATATAATATAACTACCATATTATTATATGTATCTATTTATAACTGGATAAATATTTTTAAAATGATAGGTAAAACATTGAATAAGATGCAAATAATATTTTATGTACGAAGCTGTACAACTACATTGACTATATTATGTAGAATTGTTTCGAGAAAAACAGTGTTCGTATAAATATTTATTTTTTTGTAATAATATTCAATTATAATATAATAATTTGTTCTTACTTAATTACAATTTATAAATAATAAACATCATAATATTCTATTTGGTATTTTTCATATTTTTTTTTTTGTTTGTTATTTGTTTAACTATATTTTTTATTTTCCCCGAATTATTTTGAAGATCAAAATATGTTTTAATAATGATTTAACACTCTACTAAATATTATAAACATAACGGTTTTCAAGAAAAAAATAATGAACTGAGCCATTGGAGCTCTGGACGTTGAGTGATGTATACATTTTACGATGATGGTTCTGCATTTAAATGTGTAGTGCACTATGTAATACAATATATTAAATTCATATACAACAAACAACTATAGGTACAAGTCACGAGTATTTCAAGAATTTACAGAATAGGTCGAAACCGGCAAAATCTACAATATAGATACCAAATTTATTTCCGATAGTAACGATTTCGTTGTGTAAATAATAATATTTATATTGTTAGGAATTATATGATGAGCCCTTTTTTCCATAACGAGCCAGTAGGTTGGATTTAGTTGCGTTTTTTCCATGTCAAATAGATATGAAATACCTATATATCATCACAAATGATTCGGTATGATCATAGTATGCACGTTATGCGGTAGTTCTATACTTTCGATCAGTCAATGTTTTCCCTTTATTTAATAATAATATATTTTATAAAAACAAACACAATACAATATAATAGTGTAAGCTATTAAGAAGTGGAGAACTATGATACCTATATAGGTATAGGCAAAAACGGTGATGATACATTATTAGATTGGTCTATCTATTTTTTCTATTCATATATTATTATTATTACAGTGAAACCTCGATGACTCGAACGTCTATAAGTCGTATTTTTGATAGATCGAAAGAATGTTTTCGTCCCTGCGTTTTAATGAGTGCACACAATTTTTTCTATAACTCGAATATTCTTTTATACCCCCAACCAATTCGAGTTATCGAGGTTTCACTGTTTATTATTATTATATTCTACGTCCGAGCGTTTTGCATGTATAATATATATTAGGTAAACGTTTTACGGATTAACGAGCAATGAATAATTTAGCGAGCGTTATTATGACGTGTGGTGAATACAGTATATTATGTATATTTTATATTACACAAGCTGCATCACATGGCACACATATGTGTCCTCCTATGCCGAGGGTTTATATACCTGCCGGCTGCGAGACCCATCTGTGGAGGTGGTGCTAAAAGCGCTGCGGCGGCGGCGACGATTACGGTGTTTACACACGTCATGCGTGGTTTGCAATCCACTTCGCTCGCCTCAGTGGCTCAGAACGTCATCATACAGAGTGATACAGGGTTTTCCGTACACATTTTATGTAAGAACGGTCTCGTATTAAGTGAGTGAAATCTGTAATATGAGGTGTGCTAATATAGAAATGTGCAGAGGTACACAATTATTTTTTATGATCCGGCTATCCCTACTACTTATTGGTTTTCCCGAGTTGAGCACTAAATATAAAGATATATACCTACTTACAGGATATCTATCTCATCTGCTCATCATATAATTGTCTTCGTATTATGCAATCATGATAGTGTATTATAGTTATTATAAAGACAATTATTTAAGAGATTTAATTTATTTTCTGTTTTTAGAATTCCAAAATAACGCATATATTAATTATGTACTTCATATAATTATTCTTCTCCGTGTGCATCATATATTTTTTGTATGAGTGCAGTGTTAGTAATGTTGAAAAATAAAATGTTGATTTATATAGTCGAGTCGTTCTAGCAATCATTTTACATTTGCAAAATTAATTTTATTAAAACAGCGAATCAACATAGTTATTTATAGGTAGCTGACATATTATTATTTATAACTTTATAAGCTTATAAGTTATAACGAACTCACTAATGTACATTTTTGTATTTGACCTAAATGTGCAGGTGAACCTAAAGTTTTTTCGTTACTATATTAATTTAAAATTAATAAGGAACAACTACTCATCTTATGTAGATGAACAATGATTTACCTATTTACTGCAATGTGTTTCCTTATTAAAAACATATAATTATTCCATATGTACAAATGCTTTAGGTATATATTGAATTACGGCTTCATAACATATTACATAATATAATACGTAGATGTATATTTCAACAGTGGTGGAAATATGTGTGGAGACTAGAGAGGGTGGACGGTTTCAAAGAACAAATAACAACCCTTCCCCACTTTTTCCCAAAAATTCTC